TCCGGGCGGACTGCACCCAAACATCACAGACATCTAGGACTCCTGTTACCTCTTTGTCTATTTTTCTATTGCACTAGCCAGATGTTTCAGTATGTGCAGTCCGGGGGTGAGGGTAATCCTAGTATGTCATGGACTAGGATGGAAGCTGAATATGATGTTCCTGCCATGGTTCAACTTTTGCAGGCGAATGCACATGACACAGCACCACCAATGGGCTACGGCCATGAGGACTGTCTACCAGCCCTGCGCTCACTCACCAGTGTACAGAAAAGAAGTTACAAAAGAGCCTTCAATAGAGCACAACGAGCTGGATGGACGTGGTATAGAGGCCACTGTTACACTGTCGACCAATTTCCCAAGGGTCTCAAGCGTTCTGTTAGGGCCACAATACCACGCCATCAGCATCAGCAGCCGCGTGCATTTGCCCCGCGGCATCGATTACAAGTTGGTCATGTTAATGTTGGTGGACTCTCGAGTGATCGCCTTCAAGAGCTCAAACTTTGGGCAATCGATGCCGAGCTGGATGTACTTCTGCTGTCTGAAACAAGGTGGTGCTATGAAAATGACTGGAGTGATGCCAAATGGCACCATATCCATTCCGGGACAGAGGCTGACAGATCAGATGGATTGCTTTTTCTCATCCGCACCAATGTATGCACAACAGCACAAATCGGATTTGCATCCGTGCTGCCTGGACGCATTGGCCACCTCAGGATCTTTTTTCGAAATCGTGCCTTGGACATTGTAGGCTGCTATCAGTATACTGCCAACCAGGACAATTTTCGGAATGGCAAACGCCAGACGTTTTGGACTCTGATGAATCAACAAGCCTCTGCCTTGCCAAAACGAAACAGTGTGCTCTTTGTAGGTGACTTCAACTGCAGTACACATCACTTGCCACCATATACTGGCACTGACAAACACAGGTGGGGACCAAACCTGAAGCGGGGAACACAACATCAAGATATGCACATGTTCATGGAGTTTTTGAAAACACATCAACTAACGGTGTTGAATAGTTGGAATGCACAGCTGCCACCAACCTTTGTCAACCCACCGGCAACATCCAGCATTGATCATATGATCATGCGTCTAGCTGAAGCAGATGCGTTGGCCAAAGATGTCAAGCTGTACCCAGATCCCAGTTTTCTGCCATGTACAGGTGCCAGACATTACCCCATGATATGTTCCATCAGGAAAATCTCCTACCATCACAATCGTCAGTCTCAGCCGCAGGTGTGTTCCTTTCGACAGCGATTACAATGTCGTGCAGAATGGCATGCCAACTCCTCTAATTGGCAACAGTTTCACAATGAGTTTTCACAAGTGTTTCAACATTTCACCAGTGAAGAGCATCCAGATGATGAGGTAATTCAACATATGCATGAGTGTCTGCTCCCAGTGTTTCACAGACATTTTCCTTCCACTAGGAGTCATGTTGACCCTGCGCCAGATGCCATTCAGAGTAGCAGAATCCGAGACAAATGGAAGCACAGAGCCGCTTTTCTGAAGCCACAAGTGACAACGTTGCGAACTATTTTTGCCACTTGGTTTCATGTGAGCCGTTTTCAGAAGTTGAAACGTGATCAACAGCAGTATGGGCGGAAACTTCAAAAACAGAAACTTCATGCATTGTTGGAAGATGTTGCGCTTGCTGCGTCTCGACATGACAGTTTTGTTGTCTACCAGACAATCCAGAAGTATACTCCCAAGCAGCCCAAGAAGAGAATCAGGCTTCGTATGCAAGACGGAACGCCTGCCACTCCGGAACAGGTGCTCACCATGACCAAGGCATACATCCAAGAGGTATGGCAGACTGCATCCCAAATTGTTCTGCCACCAATGTCACCGCCTGGCATCCCTTTTACTCTTGATGAGTTGATAGCAGAAATAGCCCGCACACCTGTCACGAAATCTGTGGCCAAGACATGTCTTCCCGGCCTTTGCTGGCGGACGAATGCCGATATGGTTGGACGCTTTGTCTTTCAGAAGTTGCAAGACTGGTGGAATCAGAGTCCTCCATTTGTCCCGTCTCAATGGAAAGCAGCTCATTTGACATTTATCCACAAACCAGCCAAGACACCTGACAGACTACATCACTTGAGACCGTTGGCGTTGTTGGAGCCGGTTGGCAAATGTGTTTTGGGTCTGATTACAACCAAATTTGCAGCTGATGTACAGCCCCTCATTTGCTCCTGGCCTCAAATGGCCTTCATGAAGATGCGCTCCTCATATGATGCCATCCGCAGAGTCATTGGGCATTGTTGGAGAGTCCGACACCTCACACAACGCCGAAGTGTGCACCAGAGGGCCAATAACCTCCCTAGTTCAGCAGTGCAAGGAGGGATACAGGTCCTATTGGACGCAAACAAAGCTTTTGACACAGTTCCTCGCCAGGAACTGTTTAGCTTTCTAACTGAACAACCCATTGATGCACGCTTGATATCTATCCTGGCGCAATGGCATAGTCACACATCCTATGAGATTATGCACGGCACAGAACAGCACTCAGTAGGAACAGGACGTGGAGTCAGACAAGGATGTCGAGCAGCCCCGATTTTATGGTCGACATATACACTTGCCCTGTTTCAGCGCTTGGCTGCAGAGATCAATGTGCAGTGGGTCAAAAGGTGCCTTACAGCGTTTGCCGACGACCTTCATTGTTGTGAGGAATTTTACTCGGAGCAACAACTTGAAGATGCGATTGCACGGATAGGTTTGCTGTTAGATACAATTCAAACCATGGGCCTTGTACTCTCTCTTGAAAAATCTCATGTCATAATCAAAATTAGTGGCACTAATTGCAGAAATGTCATGACAAGATTGATCAAAAAGGGATTACATGGACCATACATTGAAATTCCACGGGCAGATGGCACTACCTCCAAACTTCCGGTCAAGACTCAAGCTCGATATCTGGGAGTGACAGTCAGTTATCAGATGTTTGAAAGGCAAACCACCATGCAACGACTGCAAGCTGCAAGACACACGTTCATGCGCCTCAAACGCTGGCTATGTGCACGACAAATTCCACTGCACACCAGACTTCACATGTGGCGTGCCTGTGTGCTTTCGACAATGGTTTATGGCATTTTTGCTGTGGGATTCACTATGCCTGATCTCATGCAGATGCAACAAACCATGTTCAAGATGTACCGCATGATGATAGGGGACCATAGCTACATCACGGGGCACACCCACATCCAAATCCTTCAACAGTATCAATTGCCACATCCGCTTGAGCAACTTTTGCATGCTGGCAGACAACTGAGAGACACGTTGGGCAGCAGGCTCAATCTATTGCCACAACAAGACATTCTCTGGACAGTTGATTGGACTCAGCTCACTACTTTGCTATATGTCATTCACACCACATGGACAGACCAACTCCAAGTTCAGGTCACACAACCGGCAGCGACACTGATGGAGGTGCAACATCAATGTGACTATTGTCCTTTGAAATGTAATTCTTTGGCAAATCTGCGTCGACACATGACAGTTGTACATGGACGCTCTCAGTTTCGAACGCATTTAGTCACAGCAGCCTCTTTTGCAGTGAATGGTTTGCCACAATGTTCACATTGCATGGAAACTTTTGGAAATGCCACAAATTCTCACGTTTTGCTTACTTTTGACAAGGTGCACAATCTCTTGCGCCTGCCACGCGAAACGACGTCTGAACCTCCAAAAGAGGCGCGAACATGTGGTGTTTTGTACATTTTGACTTGGAAATGTGCTTCGAGCCACAACGGCGTGCACTTTTTCGACATCTCAACTTCCAAAAGTGGTCCGACACTGAGGTGTTTTGTACATTTTGACTTGGAAATGTACTTCGCGCCACAACGGCGTGCACTTTTTCGACATCTCAACTTCCAAAAATGGTCCGAGGCTGACGTGTTTTGTACATTTTGACTTGGAAATGTGCTTCGCGCCACAACGGCGTGCACTTTTTCGACATCTCAACTTCCAAAAGTGGTCCGAACGTGGTTTTGTACATTTTGACTTGGAAATGTGCTTCGCGCCACAACGGCGTGCAATTTTTCATCTCTCATCTGGCCAGCTGGCTCCGCACCCGCCGCTTTAGCGAGCCTACTTTTCGACCCTCCGGAGCCACAAATCATTGGAAAAAACACAGTGAATCGCGACTTTCCTACCTTTTCGCGCATCTGTATCTTCTTTCTTCTGACTCTTTCTCTTCTACTCTTCTCTCTTCTAATCTTTCTCTTCTCTCTGACCCTTTCCATCTTCGCTTTTCATCTGTCGGAAGTTTGATTTCTAAACTTCCTTCGATTATATTTTTATTTTTCCTTAATGCAGGGGGTCACCGGAGTCCCGGGGGTGTCGGTGACCAACGAAGACACCTCCCCGGGACCCGTGAAACGTACCTGCAGGACTGTGGTGGCGCACCTGGGCGCATAGAAGTCGCAGCTGGCTCTGGGCTTGGGTTTTAGCCGGCCGGCCGGCCGGCCGTCTGGCCGGCTGGCTGCGAATAGTGCCGCGCTACGCCCGCAATCAAAAGAAGTATAGAGAAAATAAAAATGCTGCATCTTAAAGTATGAAATTGGGAGATATTGGGGGAGACGCGGAAGCAAATTGAATCAGGAGAAACGGGACGAATGCAAGCCATCCAAAAGTGTTCGGGCGACCAGCGTTAGCGGATACCGGAGCAAGGCAAAACTCAATCACATGCATCTTCAGCAAAGCCATGGCGATCAAGTTGCAATAGCATACCCAGCAGTGCACTTTCCCAGGCAGTAAAACATCCAACACAAATAGCGCATTCCTGCTCACAATTTTTTAGCTCTCCACACTGCTACTCATCGGTCACAGTGCTTTTGCTGGAAAGTTTACCGCATATCATGGCGTGCTATACAGTCTTCGGGCAGGGAGATATCAAGACATGCAGGCAGCGCGCAGAGCCCGAAAGCAACAAAGATCAAAAAGAGATCGAATATAATATGATCGAATGCTTGGGAGCTCTTGCCTCTTGGGTAAAGATCTCATGCCGCGAGGTCTGTCCCACAAGAGAGGGCCTTCTTGTCTTGACAAGCCGCGGGCAGTTTGTCCCCATAGTTCACTGCCATGCAGCTCGCCTTGCTTCCCAGCTGCAAGTCAATCCGATCGAGGATTTGGTGGTTGAGGCGGCAGTCCTCCTCGTAGCACTTCAGCACCAAACAGCCTTCTGACATCTTGATGCTCTTCGGCGCACTGCCCTGATTGTTGATGGTAACGGTAAGGCGCAAGTTATTGCTGGCAGTCACAGACACCCCCCCGCAGCCATTAGGGCCGCAATAAAGGGTGAGAGGCACCTTGAACTCAGTGGAGAAGAATGCCAGTGAACTGTCCGTGCATACGAAATCGTCACTGTTGCTGTCACAACTCATGTGGGTCAATCCCGTAAAGGTGGAGTCGTGACAACCTCCCAAACAGATCACAGTTGGCCCAACGCTGGAAGCACCGGCCAACTCAAAAGCAGAGTTCGAACATGAGTTCGCGCCACAAGTCAGATACTCAGCATGGGTACCTTTGGTATCAACGGTCTTCTTTCCTGCCCACACTCAGGCCAGTTGGCGCAAGCTGCCGCTTGCACCTTGGTGGTTTGCTTCTTATCGGTTTGCTCCGTCGACGGGATGCAAGTTGAACTTCCAGGCATGCAGTGGCCGTGGATGCAAGACATGCTACACTTCTCTTCACACGTAAGTCCAATGCATGACCCAGCTTCGCAAGTCTGACAAGAGTCACACGTAAAGACGTGGCCCTGGTACTCGCAAACCTTGGGAATCCCTGCCCGCTTGACTTGAAGTTGGGCAAGAGACGAAGCCTCGCAATCTTCACCTTGGCAATCAAGGCCCAAGGTGGAAGCGGCCCATGTGATTGCAAGGAGCTTGAACATGGCCATGGCTAGGGTTCAGCTTGGGGCAAGCTTGGGGCAAGCTGCGAGCTAGCTAGGGAACTTGACACCGAAATCACTTCAGCCAGTTGCATGCTTGTCGCGTGGCGGAAACAGGGCACAAAGAAAACAGCTCACCAATGATGCGGATGTGACAAATTGCACAAACTGCTGCAGACATGGCCTTCAGTCCTTCAACATGAGTGCGCCAATGCATCCAGGCAGGAACGGATGCAGTGGTCCATGGTCCACACTTGATAGTCACAATCTGCACCAACGACGAAACAAGATGGAAGCCACGAACCCGAATGTATTCACGTTCTTGGACTACGAGTGCAAACCTCTGCAATAGGAAAACGAACCTTTTTTTGCATGCATCGTGCGCTCATATCGTCTCAGCGAACGCGCCTGAGCAACAGTTCACAAAGAGACAACTAACCAGCACAACAACATCACCACCAGCACAGCGAAATCACAACCAGCACAACAATATCACCCACACTCCACACTTTACACTCCACACTCTGCACTTTACACTCTACACTTTACACTCTACACTCCACACTCGACACTTTCCACTTCACACTCCTCACTCCTCACTCCACACACTACACTCCACACTCCACACTCTACACTCCACAGTCCACACTCCACCACACTCTACACTCTACACACACCACACTCCTCACTCCACACTCCACACTTTACACTCCACACTCCACACTTTACACTCCACACTCTACTCTTTACACTCCAGGCTCCACACTTCACACTCTACACTTTGCACTCCACACTCCACACTCCACACTTTACACTCCACACTCCTCACTCCGCACACTACACACTACACTCCAAACATTACACTCCACACTCCACACTCCACCAAACTCTACACTCAACACAAACCACACTCCTCACTCCACACTTTACACTCCACGCGCCACACTTTACGCTCCACACTTTACACTTTACACTCCTCACTCCTCACTCCACGCTCTACACTCTACACTCCACCAAACTCTACACTCTACACCCGCCACACTCCACACTTTAGACTCCACACTCTACACTTTACACTCCAAACTCCACTCTCTACACTTTACACTCCACACTTTACACTTTGCACTTTACACTCCTCACTCCACACACTACACTCCACACTCCACACTTTACACTTTGCACTTTACACTCCTTACTCCACACACTACACTTCACACCCCACACACCTCACTCCACACTCAACACTTTACACTCTACACTTGACACTCTACACTCCACACTACACTTTACACTCCACACTCCACACTTTACACTCGACACTTTACAGTCCACACTCCGCACTTTACACTCTACACTTGACACTCTACACTTCACACTCTACACTTTACACTCCACACTTTACATTTTACACTCCTCACTCCACGCTCTACACTCTACAGTCCACACTCCACCACACTCTACACTCTACACCCACCACACTCCTCACTCCACACCCCACACTTTACACTCCACACTTTACACTCCACACTCCTTACTTGACACTCCACACTCCACACTCTACACTCCACTCTCTACACTTTACACTCCACACTTTACACTCCTCACTCCACACTCAACACTTTACAGTCCACACTTTACACTTTACACTTTGCTCTTTACACTCCTCACTCCACACTTTACACTCCACACTTTACACTTCACACTCCTCACTCCTCACTGCACACTCCACACACTACACTCCACACTCCACACTCTACACTTTACACTCCACAGGCCACACTCCACCACACTCTACACTCTACACACACCACACTCCTCACTCCACACTTTACACTCCACAAGCCACACTTTACACTCCACAATCCTTACTTTACACTCCGCACTAGACACTCCACACTCCACACTCTACACTTTACACTCCACACTTTACACTCTACACTTTACACTCCACACTTTACACTCCACACTCTTTACACAAAGTTTGCACACAGACAGTTTCCAGTACTACGTTGTAAGACAAAGCTTGCACAAAGCACTTCCCAGTACTACTTTGTACTACAAAGCTTGCACAAAGCACGTTCCAGTACTACTGTGTGCTACAAAGCTTGCGCAAACTACTTCCCAGTACTACGTTGCGCTACAAAGCTTGCACAAAGCCCTTCCCAGTACTACCGTGTACTACAAAGCTTGCACAAAGCACTTCCCAGTACTACTGTGTACTACAAAGCTTGCACAAACTACTTCCCAGTACTACTTTGTACTACACAGCTTGCACAAAGCACGTTCCAGTACTACTTTGTACTACAAAGCTTGCACAAAGTCGTTCCCAGTACTACATTGTACTACAAAGCTTGCACAAAGCACTTCCCAGTACTACTTTGTACTACAAAGCTTGCGCAAACTACTTCCCAGTATCCAGTACTACTTTGTACTACAAGGCTTGCACAAAGCACTTCTCAGTACTACTGTGTACTACAACGCTTAAACAAAGCACGTTCCAGTACTAGTTTGTACTACAAAGCTTGCACAAAGTCGTTCCCAGTACTACATTGTCGAAGGAAGTTTAGAAGTGAAACTTCCGACAATATGGACAGTTGAAAAGCAGAGGTGAGAAGAGTCAGAAGAGAAAAGATCAGAAGGAAGAAGATGCAGATGCGCGAAAAGATAGGAAAGTTGCGATTCACTGTGTTTTTCCAATGATTTGTGGCTCTGGAGGGTCGAAAAGTAGGCTCGCTAAAGCGGCGGGTGCGGAGCCAGCTGGCCAGATGAGAGATGAAAAATTGCACGCCGTTGTGGCGCGAAACACATTTGGAAGTGAAAATGGACAAAACACCAGAGGAGCGGACCGCTTTTGGCGTTTGGGATGGCGAAAAAGTGCACGCCGTTGTGGTGCGAAGCACATTTCCAAGTCAAAAGTGTTAAAAACTGACGGTTCTCGGACCACTTTTGGAAGTTGAGTTTCGAAAAAGTGCACGCCGTTGTGGCGCGAAGCACATTTTGAAGTGAAAATGTACAAAGCACACCATGCTCGGACCACTTTTGGAAGTTGAGTTTTGAAAAAGTGCACGCCGTTGTGGCGCGAAGCACATTTCCAAGTCAAAATGTACAAAACACCAGGGGTTCGGACCACTTTTGGAGGCTCAGATGTCGAGTTTCGAAAAAGTGCGCGCCGTTGTGGGGCGAAGCACATTTCGAAGTCAAAATGTACAAAACACCAGGGGTCCGGACCACTTTTGGAGGCTCAGATGTCGAGCTTCGAAAAAGTGCACGCCGTTGTGGTGCGAAGCATATTTGGAAGTTAAAATGTTAAAAACACTAGGGTTTCGGACCACTTTTGGAGGTTCAGATGTTGCTTCGCTTCACTCGACTACACTACATTACATTACACTACATTACATTACACTACGCCGCACTACACTACATTACATTACACTACACTTTACAACACTACAGGTTACAACTACAACTACACAACTACAGTCCACTACACTCCACTACACTAAATTACACTACACTACATTACACTACACTACACTCCGCTACACTCCACTACCCTACATTACACTACACTACACTCCACTACGCTACACTACACTACATTACACTACACTACACTCCACTACGCTCCACTACACTACATTACACTACACTACACTTCACTACACTCCACTACATTACAACTACAACTACACAACTACACTCCACTACACTCCACTACGCTACACTTCACTACATTACACTACACTACACTCCACTACACTACAAATACAGCTACACCTACACAACTACACTCCACTACGCTCCACTACATTACACTACATTACACTGAATGACACTGAACCAAAGATAGACAGGTAGACAGCTAGACAGATAGATAGATAGATAGATAGACAGGTAGACAAGAGTGAGAGAGATCAATCGCCTTTCAGTCCAGCAGTGGCTTCGCTCTGCCATCTCTGATTCACAACAACCAATCTCTCCTATAGGTTTCCTATTTTTGAAACTTCCGCACCGCCTTGTGCGGTACTACTGGTGCTACAAAGCTTGCACAAAGCACTTCCCAGTACAACTTTGGACTACAAAGCTTGCACAAAACACTTGCCTGTACTACTTTGTATTACAAAGCTGGCAGAAAACACTTCCCAGTACTACTTTGTACTACAAAGCAGGCACAAAGCACTTCCCACACTTTACAATTTGCATTCCACACTCCATACTCAACACTTTACACTCCACACTTTACACTTTGCACTTGACACTCCTCCCTCCTCACTCCACACTTTACACTCCACACTCTACACTTTACACTCTACACCCTACACTCCACACTCAACACTCTACACTCCACACTCCACACTTTACACTCCACACTCTACACTTTACACTCCACACTCCACACTCGACACTTTCCACTCCACACTCCACATTCCACACTCTACACTTTACACTCCACACTCCGCACTCCACACTTTACACTTTACACTCCTCACTCCACACTCAGCACTTTACACTCCAGAATCCTCACTCCTCACTCCACACACTACACTCCACACTCCACCACACTCTACACTCTACGCACACCACACTCCTCACTCCACACTACAGACTTTACACTCCGCACGCAACACTTTACTCTCCACACTCCTTAACTCACTCCACGCTCCACACTTTACACTCCACAGTCCACACTTTACACTCCACACTCTACACTTTACACTCTACACTCCACACTCGACAATTTCCACTCCACACTCCACACTCCACACTCTACACTTTACGCTTCACACTCCACACTTTACATTCCTCACTCCACACTTTGCACTCCACACTCCGCACTCTACACTTTACACTCTACACTTGACACTCTACACTTCACACTCGACACTTTCCACTCCAGGCTCCACACTCCACAATGTACACTCCACACTTTGCCCTTTACACTCCTCACTCCTCACTCCACGCTCTACACTCCACACTCCAACACACTCTACACTCTACACCCACGGTGTCCTCACTCCACACTCCACACTTTACACTCCACACCCCACACTTTACACTCCACACTCCTTACTTGACACTCCGCACTCCACACTCCACACTCTACACTTTACACTCCACACTTTGCACTCCTCACTCCACACTTTACACTCCACACTTTACACTCCACACTCCACACTTTCCACTCCAGACTCCACACTCCACACTTTACACTCCACATTCCACACTTTACACTTTACACTCCTCACTCTACACTCCACACTCAACACTTTACACTTTGCACTTTGCACTCCTCACTCCACACTTTACACTCCACACTCCACACTTTACACTCCACACTCTACACTTTCCACTCCATTTTACACTTTACACTCCTCACTCCACACTCAACACTTTACACTCCACACTCCTCACTCCACACACTGCACTCCACACTCCACACTCCACCACATTCTACACTCTACACACACCACACTCCTCACTCGTCACCCCACACTCCACACTGTACACTCCACACTGTACACTCCACACGCCACACTTTACACTCCACACTCCACACTTTGCACTCCACACTCTACACTTTACACTCCACACTCTACACTTTACACTCTTACACTTACACTTTACACTCTTCACTGCACACTCCACACTCTACACGCACTACACTCCGCACTCCACACTTTACAAAGTCGTTCCCAGTACTACGTTGTACTACAAAGCTTGCACAAAGCACTTCCCAGTACTACTGTGTACTACAAAGCTTGCACAAACTACTTCCCAGTACTACTTTGTACTACGCAGCTTGCACAAAGCACTTTTCAGTACCGCTTTGTACTACAAAGCTTGCACAAAGCACTTCCCAGTACTACTGTGTACTACAAAGCTTGCACAAAGTCGTTCACAGTACTACTGTGTACTACAAAGCTCACACAAACTACTTTCCAGTACTACGTTGTACTACAAAGCTTGCACAAAGCACGTTCCAGTACTACTTCGTACTACAAAGCTTGCACAAAGTACTTCCCAGTACTACTGTGTACTACAAAGCTTCCACAAACTACTTCCCAGTACTACTGTGTACTACAAAGCTCGCGCAAACTACTTCCCACTACTACTTTGTACTACAAAGCTTGCAAAAACACGTTCCCAGTACTACTGTGTACTACAAAGCTTGCACGAACACGTTCCCAGTACTACTGTGTACTACAAAGCTTACTACTTTGTACTACAAAGCTTGCAGCTTGCACAAACACGTTCCCAGTACTACTGTGTACTACAAAGCTTGCACGAACACGTTCCCAGTACTACTGTGTACTACAAAGCTTGCACAAACATGTTCCAGTACTACTGTGCACTACAAAGCTTGCGCAAAGTCGCCTCCAGTACTACCGTATACTACAAAGCTTGCACAAACACGTTCCAGTACTACCATATACTACACAACGTGCAGCAGCAGCGCGCAGGCCGATGACGAGCGTCTGGATTGTTTCTCTCTGTGATTTTCATGCAAGTCTGACCTGTTGATCGCTTTAGTAATTGGGGTAGGCCGGAAGCAGCACCGGAAGCAGCAGCGCGCAGGCCGAAGACGAGCGTCTGGATTGTTTCGGGTCAGGGAATTTCATTTGAGTTTGATCATGCCATAACATTGAGTCAAATCGAAATTGTCAACGATCCATAAACTGAGTAAGACCAAGACCGAAATTAGGAAATGATACGTTGCTTTGATATGATCATCTGATAATTGTGATGGGAATGTGATGTTGATCACTTTAGTAATTGCGATTTGATACTTTAATAAGTTGCTCGTAGTCATTTGCGTAAGTCAGCTGCCTATAGAATCTGCATAGCCTGTTGCTCGCACGGGTAGGCCGGAAGGAGCAGCGCGCAGGCCGAAGACGAGTTTCTGGATTGTTTCGGGTCAGGGAATTTCATTTGAGTTTGCTCATGCCATAACATTGGGTCTAATCGAAATTGTCAACGATCCATAAACTGAGTAAGACCGAAATTAGGAAATGATACGTTGCTTTGATATGATCATCTGATAATTGTGATGGGAATGTGATGTTGATCGCTTTAGTAATTGCGATTTGAAACTTTAATAAGTTGCTCGTAGTCATTTGCGTAAGTCAGCTTCCTATAGAAACTGCAGAGCCTGTTGCTCTCACGGGTAGGCCGGAAGGAGCAGCGCGCAGGCCGAAGACGAGCGTCTGGATTGTTTCGATAATATGATGAGTTTCATTGACATGTATTCACTCTGATTGTATTCACTCTGCACAAAATGAATAATTGTCGGACAGAAGTTCGCGCAGGCGCGCAGGAGAAGGACAACCGTGCAGGTCGTGCCCGAGAGAGCCGTGCAAGGCAGTCCAAAGCTTTTGGTGGCAATGGATCTTCCAATATGACTGGTTCACGAGACGACAAATGGGCTGACGAGGACAATCCGTTCCTCAGATTCAAAGAGAATCACGCCCTGCACCGCGCGCGGGAGACTGAAGCGTTGCGGGTCTGGCCGATGGAGGCAGTGGTCATGCCTCGTCAACCTTGTCATTTGTGCGATGCTGGCTTTGATGATCGCGCGAGTCTACTGCAGCACATTTCCAAAGAGCATGGTGGTTTGCAGAAATATCGCAATGCGATGCTGTGCTTGCAATCGTTCTGTCCGCATGTCGTAGTTGGCAGCGAAGTGCGATACTATGTCAGCAACTACAGCACCTTTCTTCGGCATGCCAACATGGATTGGGAAGGGCCACATCTGACTGAGCTCCACGGCGGTCGTGGGTGCGCATTTTGCGCCAGATGGTTTTGGTTGGAGGAGATGTGGCCTGCGCACCTAGCAGGTGAGCAATGCTTCATGCAAAACTCACCTGCAGTTTGGACGCTTTTGTCTGTGGATCGATACCACCAACGCCGGCCGAAGATCCCTCTGACAGAGCTGCGAGCCTCCGGCGTCCAAGTCTGCGCAGCTGACGGTTCCTCGCAGTTGGTTTTGCTGCACAAACGGCGCGTGTCCGCAGCTGCGGCACGCGGCGAGGAACCTGTCTATGTTTGCATCGATTGCCACCAAGCTTTCGCTCCCAAGAAGCCGCGGCTCTGCAAGTTTGCTCTCGCCAACGATCTCTGGCTTGGACGCATCGATCCATTGCTGTGGGAGGCCAACATGACGCACGAGATGTGCTTGGCTCTCGCCCGCACCGTCGCCACAAAAGTGGTGCTGCGAGCCGAGCAGCAGTGGGACCACGTTTACCAGCAGACTGGTTACGTGGGTTCCTCGGTGCTCTTCCACAATGGCGATGCAAAGCATGCACTGCAGTCGTTGCCGCCTGAGAAATTGAACGATGCTTTGGCCATTACGTTCTGCACGGATCTGCCTGTAGAAGATGATGTTGACCATGGCCGTGAAGCAGTCCGCAAGATCGTGCAGCTCTGTTTGCGGAAAGATCGATTTCTTCAGCAAGCTCAAGTTCTACAGGACACAAATGTTGTGTATGCTGCAGGACTCATGAATGTCATTGACAACGAGCAATTGCCGAAATGGCTTGGTGGCGAAGATGATGTCGTTCCGCCGGTTGTTCTGGATTGTGTTTTGACCGTGCCAGTTGGTCGCAATGGGCCGGGCACCATGCGGCAAGAAGGCCCCGCCCAGGCCACTGCAGGCAACGTCTCGTGCAGTCAAGATGAAGTGGTTTTTGCGACGGAGCATGAAGTGAAGGACTTCAATGACGACGAGACGGATGTGTCCAGTCGTGTCGCGATCATGCTGCCGAAACTGGAAGAGTTGGAAGCGGCTGGTGCCCGTTCTGTTGCCGTCGAGATGGCGTCGTTGATGGAAGAAGATGCCGTGTTGCTGGATCATTTGGGCCGCAGAAGGTTTCAGAAACTTTGTGATGAGATTCAAGAGACTTGCCGCAAGTTGTCCACTCAAGACATGCGTCGCAAATTGGAGGGGGAATTGGTGATGTGGTGATGGGTAAGTCGCCTTGGCTATTGCCTGAAGAGAATGCACCAGAAGAGCGGTCGGAGACATACGAAGCGCAACACCTCATGGTTGCTCGTGACAAGAACCTCTCTTCGATTGGAAGATTTGGAGCATGGCCAAACCTCGTCTCTGGCGGTATGGTGACGCTTCGAATTTGTTTGACCGCGAAGAACCTCTGTCGACAGCAGAATGGACGGCGTGCATGCTGCGGCGAGAGGATGTGGGCGGTTGAATTGCAATTGTGTTTTTTTGCTTGCGGGTGAGTTTTGTAAATAAATGTTTCTTTTTGTTTTTGTTGAGTTCTTTTGCATTGCCATTTCTACTTGATTACATACTACATCAGTATGAAACATTTGGCATTCTTACAGTCATGCATTATGACAGCAAGAAACCGGTGCACCTGCGGTCGCGCCTTTTGCATGAGGGGAGATCCGTTTGAAACATCCTGTTACACCAGGCAGAAGGATGGTTGTTCACACAGAACTCAAGTCACTTCGACATCAACTACATCAGTTGCACCCATCCGAGAAATCCCCTGGAAAAGGAAAAAGGGGATATTAATGCAAAATAGGGATTCCATCATGGTGTGGGTTGGGGGGGTTTCATGATAGGACATCCCTATCTAATTGACATCGGTCCCGCCCACCCATCCCTATTGGGCCAATGGCAATGACACTCATGCTTCGTTCTTCAATCACTCAACAAAGACCAACGAAACAAGTTCGAATGGGCTCTTGTTGAGTTCTTTTGCATTGCCATTTCTACTTGATTACATACTACATCAGTATGAAACATTTGGCATTCTTACAGTCATGCATTATGACAGCAAGAAACCGGTGCACCTGCGGTCGCGCCTTTTGCATGAGGGGAGATCCGTTTGAAACATCCTGTTACACCAGGCAGAAGGATGGTTGTTCACACAGAACTCAAGTCACTTCGACATCAACTACATCAGTTGCACCCATCCGAGAAATCCCCACTTGAACATGGGTGCACCTTTTCATCATGGCCCTTGCATGCACCAATCAGGAATCAACTGCACAAAACCGGCACTCTGAAGGAATGCTGTATCAAACCTCGAGGGCTTGTCAGCTATATTGCTAGCCGACGGAACTCTTGAGACCCATATGAAAAGTGAGCTCTTGGATGATAAATGAGAAAGTCTTCTCAGCAACTTTGCATGAACTTCCACACCACTTGACATGGAGATCAGGTTGGCTCGTGCAGCCTCATTGTCTACAAAGATAAAAGCACGTCGCCCTCTGAGCTCTTCTGCCAGCAATTCGACACTCGCAACTGCGGCATAAAGTTCCAGAGCAGCTATGACCTTACTGGTGACACTCTGCATCTCCTTGAGAACATCTGGTGGCACGCGCTCGGACATGTAAAACTTCTTGGCTACACGTCCCTGTCTCACCGCATATGCAACCATGCCTATGCCTGCCAAAGTGTCGTCCTCGGCCAAGAAAGCATCAGTAAACATCACCACTTTGTTTTCACTAGAATGAGCACACAGCACTCGAGGATGAGCCCCGAGCACAAAGGCCTTAGCCCATTCCAGTTCCGACACTATCCCAGGGTTGAGAAGGGCCCGCCTGATTTGCACGGGCATGGCACTCACGCATATGCAGGGCTACCGCACGACTGAAAGTCTGACTCTCGGCGAACTGAAGCTTACCCCTCAAACTGGCAGCTTGAGCGCTGGTGAAGGTGCCCAGCTGCAAAATTTTGGTGATCTCCTCGTAGATCTGTTCCGCTCTGGACTCTTTGTTTCTGACGATCACTTTCCCTTCTTGAGCAGCTTGGAAGTCAAAGACCACGCCCAAAGCAGAAAAACTTAGGGACATCGGAAGCCTCTTGTTCTCCTTCTTGGAGTAACGCCACCCTAGAAGGTCCATCAGGCCTTCAGCAGTGGTTGTGGCATCCTCACCAGCCATAGCTACATCCAGTTGGGGAAAATCATCGTAGTAGTTAGACCATACCAGAGAAAAGAGTCGTGTACCGACGCAATGCAAGGCTCGGCTCACTCGGTTAAAGGCATAAACCGAGGCAGAGGCACCAAATGGCAAAACTTGGGAAATGAAGTATGCATTGGAGCCACTGGGCCTGCGAACTTGCAAAGCACTGCACCATAAAGACGACTCACGAACCAGGAGCTGCTTATAGGCAGCCTCAAGATCAAGCGTACGGCCTGCAAGCTGTCTGGCACTGGCCACGGAAAAGGAAGGGTGCAAGTACCCTTTCATCACTGACCCGTCACTCAGCTCTAGCTCAACAGTGCCATCATCAGCAACGGCTTCGATCATGGTGCGGGCCATCACGGATATTCCATCAACTCCATCCAGATCTAGTTTGTAGGCCGCAGCAAAAGCAGCATTGACAAGGCTAATGGACATGTCGTCTATCGGCCTGCACTTCTCCCCCTGCATCAATCCGAAACGGGGAGAGGCTACAAACAACGGCCCCAAGCGCTGCCTGATCTCATCCTGACTGAAAGGGCCTTGGAGCCATCCGCGCTGAACTTCATCCATGGTAGTGGCCCAGGTTTCTTCAACCACATTCAGGCCCTCAGCATGGCTATCCATGCCTTTGGCTGCCACCATTTTGCGACTCCAGCGAGAGGACTTCATAAGCTGCTCCCTGGACATAGCTGGCAGAGTGTCTTCTTCAAGGAAAAGGCTGCTGCAGCCTGACTGGCCAATTAGGCTAAAACCAGCCAGCAAATCTTCAAGAAGTGAATCATCCACTACACCAGCATCTTTCGCCATTTCAGAGAAAAGGAGGAAACGCTTGTCCTTCACGATGTTTGCTCGAGCCGGTTCCAACATAGCATGCAGGGCATTTTCCCGACTCTGGAGTTCCAGCTGTCTTCTCTTATAGTAGGCAAAAGCTTGGAGTCTTTTGTCTTTCACCCCTTTTGCCCCCAAGGTGTACAGCTCGAAAATGTTCCTCTTGACTGCATCATCAACGTAGCTGCTACCATCAAAAGGATGCGAAAGACGGAGGGCTGCTTCTACAAATTCATCTGGGGTTCGATAGATGCCCACCTTGCAGGATCTAGGGGTTTCATCGGCATTTTTGCTCACATCCGATACCGACCCCGCTTGAACACATGTGAGCAATTTGGCTCCACCTTGCACTCCCAGCAGGTCGCATTCATGACTTTGGAGTTTGCGGGGCACTGGTTTCGTGCGAGGCAAAGTGAAAGAAAGCTCACAGACTTCACGAAACTCTGGCAAGACTTCGGGGAAACGGTTTCCACGTGGTTGTTTGCCTGCCTGAGCCATGGCTAAAGGAATGGCTTTGCGGCGCTTGCTGGAGACGGCAGAAACATTTTGTGCCCCCAAAGCCTGAGCAGCTTTGTGAATTGCTTCTGAAATTCTTGAACACATAAGCTGAGGATACTCGGCTTCTTCAGCAGTGTTGAATCTGTGGCCTTTGGATGAGATTGCTACGCCCCAAGGAAGGTGATCATGCTGTTGGTCGCATTCCACCGCCATGTGGTCAAAGTAGGCATGATTAACGTACAATGAAGTCCACTTGTCACGACGGCCTCCATGCATGCATTGTTGAAATTTAACTTCGTGGAGGCAGAGGTCCTGGATCAAGGACACAAACCACTTTGTAGCCCACATCCAGCTGCGACTTAAGGGTTTTCGACGCTGATTAGGGCTCCAACCTCGTGAGCAGCTCGCAGCAGAATGCAAATGTTCCTGTAAATGGCATTTGCAGTTTGTACACGCTTCAAATCTGTGCTTCGAAGATGTGGCAAACCTTCAGGATGCAGCCCACTCCGCAAAGGCTTCGGCTCATGAACACCTGCTGCTCTCAGCCTCCAGGATAGCTTGCGTTCTCTTGCACGGCTTGCCGTGCCACATGGAGGTGCGCAGTGCAAAAATAGCACCACGCCTGGCTGTCTCAAAAGCGATTTGAGATACTGGACCGCTTCATCACTGGCTAGGTCAAGTGCTATGGTTGCATGCAACTGCTTATGGCGATTTTGCTTCTGGTCAATGGCCATGACTTTGAAGCCCCGGGCATATAAGGTTGCTGAAAGCCTTGCACATCCGGCACACAGCTCAATGCAAAGGAGTGAATTCATTGGAGCCCCTTGGAAAGTTGAGCTCTTCGGTGAAACTGAGGGCCCTGCAGCATCAGCAGGGCGTCACTGCTGCTCGCAGTTGTTCTGGCTGTGTGCACCTCCACATTTAGTGCACACATGACGGCCTTTCTCACATTTGCCTCCAGCTGAGGCGTTCTTGCAGCCTCTCAAGTTGAAGCTGAAGCAAATGGGCTCATTGTCCTTGGTCATGGCATTCTGCCCAATGGGCTCCACAGGCATACGAATCATCGACCGGGAACTTTGGTTGCCTTTGCGCCCTGAGCTCTTTCCCTTGCCTCTGCCCTTCTGCATGTTACGCACTTGACCCTGCAGATTCTCAATGGTCTTCTTGAGGCGCTCAGTGTCAGCCGAGGAGGACTTGCTTTTGGGTTGAGATGGCTTTGTATCATCATCCATCTCGAGCTTGCGCTTGGTGCCCGCAGGAAGTGGCTGGAGGTGAAGGCGTACCTCCGGCAAATTGATGATTGATTCAACAGCCTCCTCAACGGGCATCTTGCCCCCCACCGGACGGATACCAGCACGAGTCTGTTTGATGACCAGCTTCCAGAGTTCCAAATCTGCTTGCTGGATCTGCTCAATGCTCACCTTCTGGTACCCTGCAATCGGCGTCTTGGAGTAAGCCTCCAGGAGAATGTTGCTCCATTTCTCCAACTTGTCGTAGTTGCAGAGGCGACTTTGATCAATGGCTAAACTACGGCGCTGAAGTGCATAGCGGAGTCTCAAGTCAGACGAAGTGTCCGCCTTGATCTCTGACTCCACTTTGACCTGGCGAATGATGCCTTGGGAGTCAGGCTTCCATGTAGGGTCAACCTTGATACCCATCAGCTCTTGATCTCTTTTGGTGCACTGCTCCCACCGTATGTATCTCATCTGATTCTCCTCCACCATCTGAAACACTACATCAATGAGCCCATGTGAGGGTTCGAGCTCACCCGTCAGGTCTAAGCCTGACAGCCTAGCCACCTGGTCTGCATAACGAGAGGCCCTCTCAGCTTGCGCAAGGCATCTTGGCGGATCACCCTCTCGCTGTTCGATGCGAGACCTCAGATCAGCATTGGCCAGAGTGTAACTTTCATAGAATAGCCTCCTCACTAAAGGGACTCTCTCAGATGGAGGAGGATCAGCATCACAAACACGGCTGATCAGCAACATGAGTGGCTGCTCATCAGCTTGTCCCGGTGTGTAATTTGCTGCGAATGCAAATTTGCCAAAGGTGTTCACATTGGCTTCCTTGATGTGCCGAAGCTCATCGGGCAGCACACCGATCTGTTCAGCTCTGGACTCAAACACAGCTGATGAGTCCAACATGTTTACCTGAGTGCACCGCTACTGAACCCAGCTGCGGGGTCACTATTGATCATGCCATGTGAGAAACAAACAAAAGTGCGTGCACACGCAAAGAGCAACATAAACAACAAAACACAAAAGGACAAGAAAACCAGCAGCCAAAACTTACAAATCAAGCAAGGAAAACAAAGCTGGTCACGACATCAGATTTCTGTGCCTTACAAACAACTCTGCAGCTTCAAGTGTTACATCAACGACATCCGTTGGCCCGGAGCGGTCCTGATCGAATCTTGCTGCAGATTCCGTGGACTTCCCACGTGGCACCATCGCCTCACATAAACATGCAGTGGGGACAAGCTGAAACCCTCAAACAAAAGCTTGCCCTCACTCGCATGAAAATAAACTTAACCTGACTTCAGGTGACCGCACATGAAAGCACAGGTAATCACACATTTTCCTGTGCACTTAAACTTGAACACTTCCAAAGCACACTTTGCACTTTGGGAATGCCGCATCCGGGTCTGACTTGTATACATAATATGCCTCTGAAATGGCACGGCCGCATCCCGTGCGATCACTGTGGTCAACATGGCCATAGTGCAACATCCTAGTTCTGGAATGCCTGTATACCTTCAAGGTGTCACTCTTCTCAGCTGGAATGGCACGACCCCTAAGACCACCAGCACTACCTTCATGGTATGCATCTATATAAGCATGGCTGAATTCACAATCTGATTTTGCAGTGCTGTCACTTGAATCACTGCTGCTACTATCATCTGAGACCAAGTCATCACTCGATGCCAAGCCTCTCAATGGGAACTCCTCAGTGGGCTTGAGATACTCGACCAGGCCCACGTCCGGGAACGGGGTTTGGCTCTTGAGTACAACAAATCGCCCATCAGCTTCCCGCATGGCAGCTGTCGTAGGGAACCAAGCATCCTCTTGGAAAATTCGTGCTGCATCCAAAACATCCAAACCAGTCTTTTCCAAAAACTGCCGCGTCAAGGGTTTACGTTGCAAGGCCGGAGGAAAAAGGCTGTCACGGGCTGCCCCCGGCACATAGACCCCGTCATGCACTTGCTTCATCATATCAACAAGCCGCCTGATAGGTTCACTCAGGCAATCCCGAGTGTAGTTCAACGCAGATGAATGCTCCTTATTGACATGATAGCCAAGAAGCTCGCTCGTTGTCAGATCGCAACCCCAAGTGTTCATCCATGCCAGGAGGGTGGCTTTCAGCGAGTGGCTTCGAATGCCATACAAGTCATCCTGCGAGAACCCGCTGCCCAAAAGGCTGAGCAGTCGATCTGTAAGCTCAACTGAGCCTATGGGATTCTGCGTTTCATAGCCCAGCGAGCCCTTCTCTGGAACCAAAACGAAGTCCAGGTCATGCGCTTGGCTCTCCAAGGAAGGAATATCACGCAAGCCCAGATTGCTCCTAGCCTTGACAAACTCCAAAAACCAGGGTTTTCCCAGCAATCCAAAACTCGGCACAATCAAAGGAATGAAACTCGTGGCTTTCTCCTTGCTCTTGGCCGTCTTTGTCCTGGACAAGGCGCCCTCGAAAAAGCGGCCAATCAAAGTCCCATGTCTGGTTCTGTTAGCGTCACTGCAGCGAAGTCGCCCATAGCAGCAAAACAAGCACAAACCAGCGATCATCCTGTCATAGTCGTCTGCCACACTAAAACAAGCAATTTCCAGCCAGCACAACATTGTAGGAACCAGCATGTCAGCCCGGGAACGTGGTTGCCTAGTCAAAATCATTTGATGGCTGGCCCCTTTCACACGCTCGGAGCCTGCAGAGTCAATGGCTCCAGGAAACTTGAAAGCCTCGCCCACATACTTGAGGGTGCCCAAAAGCGTATCCACTCTTGAAGCAGACTGGCCCATCTGGCGACATTCACAGGCATATGCATAGAGCTTCGACTCAGTGAGGGGATATACCGGCTCATCAGGATAAGTATGAAGAAGCCATGCATAGTACATGCCCAGTGATCCTACTCGTGTCCTGAGTGTAGATGTCGCCTTTGTGACGAAAAGGTCATTGAGGGTTGTCATTACCTTCAGCTCATCATCAGCACATTCCAGCAACATCTTTCCTGGAAGTGTGTCTTCAGGCATAATCATGAACAGTTCCGCCCACTTCAAGAGCAAAGAGCTGCGTGCTTGATCAGCTGCTTGACTGACATGTTGATGCACTGTATGCCTGACTTGAGCTTTCCTTTCAGGCACAGTCATCTTTGCTCTAACAGGCTGCAAAGTCGACGGCACATAATTCATACTTCTCATCATGGCAGGGGGTTTAAGCCAAGGAACTTCTGGAGGGCCCAAGACATCTCGAAGGAAAGGATTTGTCTCCCAAGGAAAACGAGGACCACTCGAAGGTCCACCCAATGCCATGGCTACATCTAAAGAGCGTTCAACCGCTTCAAGCCGGGGATCCCTTAAGGAGATGACATCCACCTTCCCAGGGTCAACATCTGAAATTCCCCGCTTTTTCATGATAGGACATCCCTATCTAATTGACATCGGTTCCGCCCACCCATCCCTATTGGGCCAATGGCAATGACACTCATGCTTCGTTCTTCAATCACTCAACAAAGACCAACAAAACAAGTTCGAATGGGCTCCTGTTTCCGTTAGCGGTTTCTTTTCATCAGGAGATGGTGTATTCTCTGGACAGTGATGAGACTCCGTACACGGCCCCTGTCAAGAATCGATTTACAGGAGATTGGGTCGCTTTGCACATGATGTCAACTATTTGTCGTCTGACTGGTCAACGCAATGCTTCGTACAACTTTTTGAAGAATGGTGGTATGGCGTTCGCCCAGAACCTGAAAGAGTTGCGAGCATCAGATTTAGCACTTGCTGCCAGAGTGGTTGAACCAACGTGGGGTGACTCTCTGCAGCAAGTGCTGAAGAATGATGCCGTGCCTCGGAAGGTGAAGGCCTGCTTTGAAGCGATGCAGGCCGCGTCCGCCAATGTTGTCGGCACAGATGGACATCGTAGACATTGTCGCCATGAAGGGTGGGCTTACATGGAGATGTTTGGTCCTCCGTTGATTTTCTTGACCCCGAACATTGCAGACACTCAGCATCCCTTACTGCTAGTCATCCAAGGGGAAACAGTGGATCTGGGTGGAGTGGCTGCTGACATGCCAGGCACGCTGCCGAAGTACCGGGATATGATCCATCGCCTCGCGCAAGATCCGGTCACACTACACGACACTCCACTACACTCCACTACACTACAACTAGAACTACACAACTACACTCCACTACACTCCACTACACTACATTACACTACACTACATTACACTACCCCACACTACCTTCCACTACACTTCACTACATTACACTACACTCCACTACACTACAAATACAACTACAACTACACAACTACACTCCACTACACTCCACTACACTAAATTACACTACACTACACTACCTTACGCTACACCACACTCCACTACACTACGTTACACTACACTACACTCCACAACACTACAACTAAAACTACACAACTACACTCCACTACACTCCACTACACTAAATTACACTACACTACACTAGATTCCACTACATACACTACATTACACTACACTACACTACCTTCCACTACACTTCACTACATTACTCTACACTACACTCCGCTACACTACACCTACAACTACAACTGCACTCCACTACACTCCACCAAATTACACTACACTACTACATTGCACTACACTACACTCCACTACAGTACATTACACTACACTACCTTCCACTACACTTCACTACATTACACTACACTACACTCCACTACACTAGAAACTACACCTGCGACTACACAACTACACTCCACTACACTCCACTACACTAAATTACACTACACTACACTACACTAGATTCCACTACACTACACTACATTACACTACACTACACTATACTCTACACTACACTCCGCTACACTACACCTACAACTACAACTGCACTCCACTACACTCCACCAAATTACACTACACTACTACATTGCACTACACTACACTCCACTACAGTACATTACACTACACTACCTTCCACTACACTTCACTACATTACACTACACTACACTCCACTACACTAGAAACTACACCTGTGACTACACAACTAGACTCCACTACACTCCACTACACTAAATTACACTACATTACACTATACTACGCTACATTGCACTACACTCCGCTAGACTACACTACATTACACTACATTACACTACACTACATTACACTGAATGACACTGCACCAAAGATAGACAGGTAGACAAATAGACAGATAGATAGATAGATAGATAGATAGACAGGTAGACAAGAGTGAGAGAGATCAATCGCCTTTCAGTCCAGCAGTGGCTTCGCTCTGCCATCTCTGATTCACAACAACCAATCTCTCCTATAGGTTTCCTATTTTTGAAACTTCCACCGCCGCCTTGTGCGGTACTACTGGTAATTTTAGAGAGAGAGAGAGAGTGAGAGAGAGAGAGAGATTTGGTCCATATTGACGCCGAGTACACGCACTAAGTGCCCCCAATGATTTCTGAACTATCTGTGGAAAGGCAACGTGAACACGCGCAGTGCTCAAGCAAAACCTCTCTATAAAATCGACAAATTAGTCTCTATTTGGGTGTCCTTCAAACCTGAACTGTCCGTTTTGGAGTCCTGCGGTCCGCGGTACCTTGCGGTATAGAAAGTGGCACGATGTTTGGGGCATGTACCGACCAAATTTTGGAGTTTAGATGGCCAGGAGGCGGGAAACATATGAAAAGAGTCCAGTTTCTGGAACTTTTTGAATCTTTTTGATTTTATAGAGGCAATGGGTTCATATTGAAGCCGAGTACATGCACCAAGTACCCCTATTGATTTCCGAATCACCCACAATCCGTCCTGCGGAAAGGCAACGTCAACACGCGCAGTTCTCAAGCACAACCTCTCTATAAAATCGACAAGTTAGTCGCTACTGGGGGGCCTTTCAAACCTGAACTGTCCATTTTGGAGTCCTGCTGTGCCTCACGGTATGGAAAGGGGGAATGATGTTTACTGACCAGATTTTGGAGTTTAGAGCTCATGGAGGCAGGAAACATATGAACAGAGTCCAGTTTCTGGAACTTTTTGATTTTATAGAGGCCGCATTCAAAGGCACAACCTTAAAAAAACAACAAAAAGTTAATGCTTTTTTTTTGGGGAAGGGCTCCCAAGAGGTATCTGAAACAATCTAGAACTAGTTTGAAACCATCTCTATCTATCCATCTGTTTGTTTCTCTTTCTCTCCCTCGCTCTCTCTATCATCGAAGGAAGTTTAGAAGTCAAACTTCCGACAATATGGAGAGATGAAAAAGCAGTCAGCAGGGAGAAGAGTCAGAAGAGAAAAGACCAGAAGAAAGAAGATGCAGGTGCGCGAAAAGGTAGGAAAGTCGCGAAACACTGTGTTTTTTTGTGGTTTTGTGGCTCCGGAGGGTTGAAAAGTAGGCTCGCTAAAGCGGCGGGTGCGGAGACATCTGGGGAGATGAGAGATGAAAAGTTTGACGCCGTTGTGGCGCGAAGCCGATTTCGAAGTGAAAAGGTACAAAACACCTCAGCGTCGGACCACTTTGGAAGTTGAGATGTTGAAAAAGTGCACGGCGTTGTGGCGCGAAGCACATTTGGAAGTAAAATGTCTTAAAAACTGAAGGGATCGGACCACTTTTGGAAGTTGAGATGTTGAAAAAGTGCACGCCGTTGTGGCACGAAGCACATTTCCAAGTCAAAATGTACAAAGCAAACCAGGCGCGGACGACTTTTGGCACTTGAGATGTCGAAAAAGTGCACGCCGTTGTGGCGCGAAGCACATTTTGAAGTCAAAACGTTAAAAACACTAGGGGTTCGGACCACTTTTGGAGGTTCAGATGTCGAAAAAGTGCACGCCATTGCGGCGCGAAGCACATTTCGAAGTCAAAATGTTAAAAACACAAGGGCTTCGGACCACTTTTGGAGGTTAAGATGTCGCTTTGCTTCGCTTCACTACACTACAATACACTGCACTACACTACACTCCACATACACTACACTACATTACACTACACTCCACTACCCTAAACTGCATTACACTACACTACGCTACACTACCTTCCACTACACTTCACTACATTACACTACACTACACTCCACTACACTACAACTAGAACTACACAACTACACTCCACTACACTCCCCTACACTACATACACTACACTACATTACACTACACTACACTCCACTACAGTACATTACACTACACTACCTTCGACTACACTTCACTACGTTACACTACACTACACTCCTCTACACTACAACTACACCTACGACTACACAACTACACTCCACTACACTCCACTACATTAAATTACACAACATTACACTACACTACACTACATTCCACTACACTCCGCTACACTACACTACATTACACTACATTAAATTACACAACATTACACTACACTACATTCCACTACACTCCGCTACACTACATTACACTACACTACATTACACTGAACGACACTGCACCACAGATAGACAGGTAGACAGATAGACAGACAGATAGATAGATAGATAGACAGTTAGACAAGAGTGAGATCAATCGCCTTTCAGCAGTGGCTTCGCTCTGCCATCTCTGATTCACAACAGCCAAACTCTCTTATAGGTTTCCTATTTTTGAAACTTCCGCCACCGCCTTGTGTGGTACTACTGGTATCTATCTATGTGGCGCACTGTCACATCCACCTTCGTTTCGCGTGGCACGCGTGGCGCTTGGTCACGCCCACCTTGGTTTTGCGTGGCAGGCGTGGCACTTGTGGCACTGGGCTGGCTCTGGTGTCACACGCCATCTTTGTCACATACCATCTTTCACACACTTTCTCACACACCATCTTTGACACACCCTCTTTCAAGACTCTTTCGCACACCAGCCATCTTTGTCACAACATCTTTCACACACTATCTTTCACACACCCTCTTTCACACCCAACTTTGTCACACACCATCTTTGACACACCATCTTTCACACACCACATTGTCACCCACCATCTTTGACACACCATCGTTCACACTTTGTCACCCTCCATCTTTCACACACGGCTTTGTCACACACCATCTTTCACACATCATCTTTGACACACCCTCTTTCACACACCCTCTTTCCAGAGGCCGCGAAGTCGTCTTACGACCTGCTGTACGCCCATCCAATCCGGCCTACATCCCCACACCTGATGCTGATGACACCTGGGGCGAATGGAATAACAGTCACTATCCCGACGACAACCATCACAACAATGCTCGACCCAACTCTCCCGCCGGCCCACCACCACCTGAACCATCTACCAACCCACCATTACCTCCCGCAGCACCACTTGGAGCCGTGGCCTTCCGCGTCCCTGACGGCGACAGCGAAAACTCCGAGGTTACAGATGCATTTTCGATCTCAAAATTTGACTCGAATGACATCGACCTCAGTGAAATGGTTGAGGCGGCCAATGATCCACTTAGGGTACGCTGCTTGACCGAGCTCGGCCCCGACTATACCATATCCCTACGCCAATCATTGAACCAGTCCAACATGCAGCTCTTCAACCAGTTCGTTGACGAGATGTTCCTCCAGTTGGCCCAACCATATCGCAACGTCAACAACCAACGCATTTTCATCCGAGCAAGTCAGGCCACCGTCAAGAACATTGCCAGGGCCTTTGCACAATCCCGATTACTTGACATCGAGCTGGCGAAGCAAACCAAAGCCTTTTACATCGAGCCAGAGAACCTGCTGACCATCACGGTCCCAACGGGATTGCCCAAGAAACCGATCTATCGTGGCGAGCACATGGGCACCTACCTGATCTACCACAAAACGAGTTGGGAAACAGTTGCCAAGATCCTTGCTGAAGATTGCATTCGCCCGGCAACTTGGACAAAAAACGAAGCCGGCTACCCGACCCAATACCCATGTTACGGGTTCTTCGGCATGTCCTGTGAGATTCCTGACATCGATGTCC